CAATTCTCCCCTGCCAATCAATTTTCTAACATACAGCCATCTTCTTTTAGGGTATTATCCCCATTTCTTTACCCTATGTCTTATGTCATGTTTTCGGGGTAATTGGCCCCTTCATTGGAGAAGCCCTGGTGGTGCAGTGGTTAAGCATTCGGCTGCTAACTGAAAGGTCCTTGGTCCCACCCCACCATCTGCTCTGTGGGAGAAAGATGAGGCAGTCTGCTTCCATAAAGATTATAGTCTTGGAAAACCCTATGGAGCAGTTCTACTCTGTCCTATAGTGTTGCTATGAGTTGGAATCAACTTGGTGGCAATGAGGTTGTTTTGGTTTGGGGGTTCCTTCAAATCAGTATCTCAACTATCTGGTGGGTTCTTACGTTTCTTTGACTTCATGATCCTGATGTTATCTAGGGGCTGATGTCAATTTTCAGGGCAAGCAGAATAGTGGGTAGAAAGTAGGCCTTAGCATCAGAAAAGACTACATGAAAAGCCTTACTCTGCCACTTTCAAGCTGTGTGACCTTGGGCAAGTTAGTACAGTAAAACCTGCAAAAGCCAGAGCCTGTCAGTGAAGGAAAACGCAAATATTTTCCACTAAAATGAGCAACAGAAAAAAGGTAAGACAACTGCACCCTGTCAAACAGATAAAAACTTGCAAGACCTGGAAAAACAAGTTGAATTCCAACCATTTGTCTACACTGCCTCACAGGGTTGCTGGCACTAACAGGAGTTTCATCACTTGATTGTTGAGTACTTCAGATGAATTCCTTCTATGAGTTCCCATAATACCCTGTCACAGGTTTCACTGCGTCTTTGGTGGTCATTGGATGATTTAATCAATGGAAGTTTGTGGCATACCTGATCTAATGCCAACCTCTGTGTTGGGCCCTGGTGGGAAAGGTCATGAAAAATGTTAAAAAGGGGGGTGGGGAACAATCTCATGATATAGGAGATCATAATGTAGTCTCCTATATCAAAAATACTTATTTTCCTCATATATTGAGTGTTGCTAAGACTTAAAAAGTAATGTAAAGTTCCTGGGAGAAATTATTTCTTATTGATTCAGCAAATACTGTCTTTCCTTCTTTATTCTTCTCTTTTCTACCTTCCCGTCTACTTGAGGCCTTTGTCTGTGGAAGACTGTCACACTGCCATATTCTTCATGAACATATCAAGACGGACTTAAAATTTCACTTATTCTTTCCTGCCCTTGAGGCACTAACTATCTCTTGAATATACTATGACATTTCTCAGGCATATGAGCTGAGAATATCTAATTCCATTCAAACATTTCAGTCCAGACATTCAACCACTTTAATTTTGTGATTAAATGTTTTATTAATATTAGGGGAGATCATAAACAGTTTGTAGTTGCTAGGGAGTTTCTTGGCTAACTCCTCATTATTTAGATACCAGCCTAGATGTCACCACTTTCATGCTTCCGCATTCCATGACCACTTAGATTTAATTTTTTCTTCTATGAGTTCCCATAATACCCTGTATTTCCCCTATCCTGGGAGGCACTACTGTCACATGTCTGTAAGGTAAGTTCAGCCTTTGAGTCATACAGTCCTGGGTACAAACCCCACCTTCACCTCTTAATGGACTTTGGCAAGTTATTTAACCTAAGTCCCTTTTCCTCATCTCTAAACTGAGAGGAAATCATGCATATTAGTGCCTACACAGTGCTTGGCACATGGTAAGCAACAAACAAGTGCTAGGTGCTGTCATTGCCACCATCATCGTCATCAACATCACACTTTATTGTAATTGCTTACTGAATGTGCTTGTCTCCCTCACTCCAGTATGAGTTGTATGAGGCAGGAACCTTATCACCTCTATTCACCATTTGTCTACACTGCCTCACAGGGTTGCTGGCACTAACAGGAGTTTCATCACTTGATTGTTGAGTACTTCAGATGAATTCCTATGGCCTGGAAGACAGCAGTGGCTGCTGAGGTTCCACAGTGCCTTCTCAGTGACTCCTTAAGTCACATGATTGTCATGTTTAATACCCTCAAAGGCTAGGCAAGGAAGCCAAGTTCCTAAGAGTGAATTCAGAATGGAGGCTAACCAGAGCAGGTGGGAACGGAGCTCATCTATGAGGTGGAAGGGACTTCCACAGTCACCTGTCACATTCCCTGAATTTTACAAAGTATGTGCTAATGCACATCCTCTGCACAGGGAGGCCAGTCAGGAATAGAATTGGAGAGCTGTAAACCCAGCAGCCACTCCTTGGAAGGAACCTCGAAAGGAAGGCTGGGCAATCTACTTCTGTAGTGATACTGCCTTGGTAAGACAACTTGTTTATCCAGGTCTTGCAAGTTTTTACCTGTTTACCCCTAAGGTAAGGAGGGGTCGCTATGAGTCAGGTCGGACTCAATGGCAGTGAGTTTGGTTTGGTTTTTTTGGTTAGATCCCAAAAGAGGGATTTAGAAGACAAGAGTTGGAGCTATACAGCTATTTTTTTTTTAATTAAAGTTTTTTTTATCTCTCATCATTCTAATATGGAATTTTATTTTTATTTTTTAAGGATAACACTTAACTATAGACTAATAGTAATATTTCAATATTAATAATATAAAAAATAAGAAAACTTTTGTTACTTCTAAAGGAAGAGATGACATTACTACCAATGTACAGGATATCCACCATATAGTAAACAATTTATTAAGAGAGTGCATTGTGGTTCTGCTCATCCACTCTCTAAATTTTTTCACAGTGCGTATTTTGCATGAATAATAATTTGTGAGTGTATTGGCAAAAATTACTTCTAAATAAGTGAGATATGAAAAACTAAGATTTAAACCATTTAATACACTTAATAATTCTAAAAATTACTACTCCAGCCCTGTGCCTTATAAGGGCTTCATTTATGCTTCCTTGACAATGTGAGGTCAGAGTCCACAGTGGTTGGACAAGTGTTCATGTTCATTTGCATCCATTGCATTTACATAAATATGCCACAGGAGGGCAGCACACACCTGGTTAAGTAAAGCCGGGGGGTGGGGGGAACCTGCTTAAGTTGCCACTTGGGAGCTCTGGTAGCATAGTGCCTAAGGCACTTGACTGCTAACCAGGAGGTAGCGGTTCAAATCCACTAGCCACTCCTCGGAAGCACGGTTGGGCAATCTACTTCCGTAGTGATACGGCCTCGGAAACCCAAGGAGGTGTCACTATGAGTCGGGTCCTACTCGACGGCACATAACAACACAAAGTTGCCACTTCGATAGGAAAGCTGTTAAAGGAGCCTAAAGGGATGAGTCCTTTAAGACTGAGTTTCTACAAAAGGGAATCATTCAACTAATCAAACTGCAAAATGGGAAAACAGTTAAAGAAAAAGAATTCCTCAAATCTGTGAAAACAATTACTTGTTACATCTGGAAGAGTTGCTGAGTGCTATGATCTGAACACCAGCTACTCAAAGACAATCAAATCCACAACAAAGAGCACCTTATAAAAGGTACCTTAGAAATCGACCTCAAATTGAACCTGCTTTATCTTGTATCCTACTTTGAATCAAAGAGAGCTTTCATGTATTTCTAATGTCTTATATAAAACAATCAGAAATTTTTAGAAATTTCAGTGTTCTGTAGTTATATAGACATTTTATTATAATAGAATATATATTAGCTTTAGAATATGCGATGCTTGAATACAAACTTTTAAAAGAAAATTTTAATAGACCTTCATTAATTCAAGGCTATAAGTTTGGAATTTGTGAAAATTTGGTGTAAATAAATATTGTCTGCATAACATGTAGAGAAAAGGATTGACCAATTAACAATTAGTCTGGCAGTTAGCAAGAGGAAATGCTTCAGTTATTCAAGAATAACTGCATTTTAAGTCTAACCGTGTTTTTAACTTTTTTTTTGCAAAATCTTTTTGCAGAAATATAAGTGTGTGTATCAAACCAACTTCTTGAGTGGCTCTAGATTTGTCACCTGGGACCAGTAAACTGATTACTCTTGGATTCCTTTAGAGCACTCAGTAACCACCTCTCTTAACATAACTGATAAACACAGACTTTTACCAGCTGGCGCTTGTTAACCTAGATGACTTAAGTGATTTTAAAATACTGCAAACAAAACAACAGTGGTTTCCCATTAATTCAGATTGGCTTTCCCCCTCAGTCCAAGTTACTAACAGTTTACTGACTAATAACCGTTCTAAAATTTCTGCTAACAATTCTTGTTTTTGATAAATAAAATGTATTTGCAGAAAGCTGTAATGATGATTTACCTATGCAATGTTATTCTGTTGATCATGAAAAACATTGCATTACATGTTCTTCCCATTGTATTTATGTGATTTTAATATGCCCATGTGGCCTGACAACAAAGTCAGTTATCTGAATATATCCCATTTTGGAATAGTAGCTGTAAATGCTAAGTAACTGCCATCATGTTCAAGTTCAAAATGTTCATTAGACTGATAGACTATTTTAGATATTTAAAAAAAAAAAAAAAACTCACTGCCGTTTAGATATTTAAAAAAAAAAAAACAACCTCACTGCTGTTGAGTCATTTCTGACTCATAGCAACTCCTCCTTGGGTTTCCAAGGCGGTATCTCTACAGAGGTAGATTGCCCAGTCTTCCTTCCAAGGAGTGGCTGGTGGGTTTGAACTGCCGGCCTTCTGGTTAACAGTCAAATACCTTAGGCACTATGCCACCAGAGCTCCTATTTTAGATAGTTAGGTATATATATATCTAAAATAGTCTATTAGTCTAATGAAAGTATCCAAACATGTATGACCAAACATATCATAATGTAGCATGACTGATTTTCATGTGGCTAATTTTATAATATTATGTTTAATTAAGAATAGAAAGCCCTGTCTTTTCTGTTGATACCAGGGGGAAAAGAAATTAAGATATAAAATGTTTCTGTGTGAATGAACATTCCTCACTAAATCTCAGACAACTGCCTTAGGCTTTATACTGTTACTAACACCTGAGCTGTCATCTCTTTGTATACATGTCTAATTTATCAGTTTCTTGTAGATTGTCAGCAGCCTGCTGCCTCCGTACCGCCACAGTGCTCACAACTAGCCGGGAGGCAAGACTGCCCGACTGTCAGGTAAATTCGTCTGTCCTTTCTTTTCCCACCCAGATGCATGTCAGATCCATAGACTCCAAGCCCCCCATTCTGATGGCGCCATAATTCCTTCTACATCACTGTATTTTGTTGTTGTTGCTGTTATGTGCTGTCGAGTCGGACCCGACTCATAGCGACCTCTCCTTGGGTTTCCAAAGCAGTATCACTACAGAAGTAGATTGTCCCATCTTCCTTCTGAGGATGTCCCATCTTCCTTCCAAGGAGTGGCTGGTAGCTTTGAACCGCCAGCCTTCTGATTAGCAGTCAAGTGCCTTAGGCACTATGCTACTATTTTACTACATTTCATTTTAGTCATGAGCCACATAAATGACTATCCTATAGCCTGAAGTCATGCATGCCTTCAAAAATGCAAGACAGGTGGAGTTCTTTTCGTTAGCCACTAGACTGAAGGCTGCCAGCAATGGTTTTGTGTGAGTAAATAATTGTATTAGTCCATTGTTCAATTACCTCCAAATGTAAAACCTGAACTTGTTTGGATATTTGCCCCATTTTTGTTTTCTTTTGTCCTGAGAGTACATATCTCAGGCACACAAACAGGAAGAATATGAAGCACGGTTATAGTCTGTTCCAGGATGACTTTATGAGAGTGTTTCTGTTCTCTGTCCACTCAGTACTCTCATTAAACTGAATTTTAAAAATGGAGGAAGGCTTGTAATTGACATTAAAAGAGACAACCTTCATACTTTTGTAATGTTTATGTGAGATTAAATGAACAATTCCAAAGTCATTTTCACACAATCCCTGGACACTAAATAAGAGTTTTGCTGACAGTTTCTTACCCAGATGAAAATTATCTTCAATTATACTTACCTAAATGTAATTATGTTTTTCTTGCTTCAGTGGTCATGCATTTTTTCTGTAAGGTTCTAAAATAGATTTATCTCTCACTCTGAGAATACAAGATGACTAAATTGGAGTATTTTTTTCTCAGGCTAATTGTTGGATTTAAACAGGAGATATCTCTCTTTTTTTTTAACTTTTTTTTTTTAAATTGTGATTTGGGTGAAAGCTTACAGAGCAAATTCATTTTCCATATAGCAGCTCACATACACTTTCCCTCATGATATTGACTACAATTTCCCACAATGCAACAGCTCCCCTTCCACTTCCTCCCCATAGTTACCTCTTCCCTGTGCTCTTCCCTCCATGCACTCCTGCCCCCGAGCTATCTCCCTGTGCATAAGCAGCCCTTCTATTCTTTAAACACAAGATATCTTTTAAAGTATAAATATTCCCAATTTGTCTTTCTCATGAGAACCTGTATATTTGATTGTTACCATGAATCTGTGTTTTTATTTATTGCCCGAAATCTATATATTTTTACCTTCTCCCCATTACTGCTATTTCTATTTCGCAACAAAAATTTTGGTTTGCGAGATGAATGGATCTACCCACCTACATATTTGTGAGCTTTCTCCTCAAGTCCTCAGGCAAGAGTCAGACGTCACACTCCCATAAATTGCTTGGAGGTGGTGGGGGCTAGGGAGTGTTCTCTCCAGGAGGGAGTTAATCTGGTTTGGAGTCAGAATGCCTTTATTCAAATTGTATTTAGGCACTTAGCTGTGTAATCTTTGATGCATAGCTTAATCCAAGAACTGTAGTTTCCTTACCAGTAAAATAAATATATTAATAATGCCTACATCATAGTTGTCATTGATTAACTGAGGATGACTGCTAACCAGAAGGCTGGCAGTTCACACACACCAGCCACTCCTCGGAAGGAAGATTGGGCAATCTACTTCTGTAGAGATATCACCTCAGAAACCTGAGGGGTTGATGTAAGTCTAATTGACTTGACGCAGTGAGTTTGGTTTTGATTTAATATAAATGTAGAACCTAAAATATAAGGGCTATTGAAACATAGCAGAGTTGGGATTGTTACCTCCCTTCTGCCAAATTTCTGAAAACGTTAATTGTTACCCATGTCAAAGAGGAAAAGTTTACTTTTTTTCCTTCCTTTTATTTAGGAAGTTAGTTTTCTGTATACTAAGTTACATACTAATTCACTAATAATATTCAATATTAATACCAGTAAATGTATTAATGGTGGAACTAAGATCTAAATTGATTTTAAACTAATTTCTTTTCCAATATTTAATTTAAAATTCTGTATTTCATTTCTTAGCCAAAATAAATTGTACTCTCTAGATTGTCTTGCGTTCTTATACTGCATTATAATTTGGTGCTACAAAGTTGAAAATAGATAACCCAAACTTAAAAACTACAATAATTTTACCAGAGTTTAAATAGAATTTTGTATGGATATTTGAACTTCCCAACCATTTTGGCTTGAATTACATTATACTATTTTATAAACATAAAATATTATAAGTTATAATAGCTATAATTTACTGAACATTAGACATTGTGCTACAGGTTTAATATTATAATATTTATTATGCACACACAAAAGAAACTTATGACGCAAGTATGATTATTCCCTTTTGAAGATACACAGGCTCAAAAAAGTTAACTGCTAGTTCAAGAGCCCAGAGCTAGTGAATAGTAGAGACAGAATCCTGTCCCATTCTAGCCATTGCTCTTAACCACTGAGCCAGCTTTGGTGAGAATAAGGACAATCCCTTTCTATTCTCCCATGGTTGATCTCCCCAGAAGTGTAACTACCTAATGTAAGCATTCAGCTCACATGCCTGTCTTTTGCTTGGCTGGAAGCCACGGGAGTGGGTTCAGTTCCAGACCTGAAGGGCAGCTAGGGGCCATAGTCTCAAGAGTTGGTTTTTTTTTTTTTTTTTTTTAAAAAAAAAAAAAACATTAAAGCTCAAGTATTGGGGAAATCATTATACAATCAGAGATCCTCAACCCTGGCTCTATATAGAATTTTCCTGAAAGTTTTAAGGATACTTAGTTCTCCCTTAGGGCATTCTCTGAATATATTATATGAAATACCCTAATGCAAATATCAAAATAAACCAGATATGAAGATTTCAATGGAGGTGTTACAAGACCTCTTCTTTCTCTTCTGATTGAGCCGGAAGAGGTAGCCATGTAACACACATAAACTATGGAAAGCTTTCCAAATCATCGTCAGTTTACTTCCATCCCAGGAGAACTTCCACATGGTATCAAACACCCTGTCAGCACCTCATCATCTTCATGTAATACTTCATCTCCAGTTACTTGACCTCCATGGAAGCTAGGTTTTTATAGTCTGGTTGTGGTTTTTATAAAGATCCCTGGGTGGCATGAATGGTTTATGTTTGACTACTAACTAAAAGGTTGGTGGTTCAAAGCCACCCAGTGCTGCTGCAGAAGAGTGACCTGATGGTCTGCTTCCATAAAAGATTACAGCCAAGAAAACCCTATGGAACATTTCTACTCTCTAACATAGGGAGTTGCCATGAGTCAGAATCACCTCTACAGCAACAGGTGTGGTTTTTACAGTCTGCTCACTTATCTGTCCTTATTTTAATGTATCTGTTACTCTTCTACCAGGGAAAGGCTGCTTTTGAGTAGCTGTGGGCCCAGATACTTCCATGCATGTCTGAGGAGTGGATGTCAGTAGCTGGCTCTATGTGGCTGTGGATTAGAGCCAGGGAAGCTGGAGAGAGACAAGTGCAGAAACCCAACTACAACCAAAGCCTAAGGTTGACTTGGTCTTGGAGGCCGTTACATAGTCAACTGTGTAACTGGGACACCAGTTAGCAGAAAAAAGGGATATGATAAAATAGGCTCCAAGCCAGTGTCTTCTGTTTGATATTAACAATCTGCTCTTTTGACCACTTCCTGTAACAGAATTTTAACTTCAGGAAGGTAATTTGCTAACACACTTATGCCATTTTATAATAGCCCTTTGTGGAGTAATTTAATTACGTAAGTAATTGATTAAATCTATAAATGTTGAAACCCCTCTCAGTAGGATTCTAGTGTAGTGATTAAAAACATGGGCTCTTTCATTATTATTTTTATTTTTATTGTGATTTGGGTGAAAATTCATAGAGCAAATTCATTTTCCGTACAGTGGTTCACATACACTTTGTCTCATGACATTAAATGCAATATCCCACAATGGAACAGCTCTCTTCCCACTTTCTCCCCATAGTTACATAGTGTCCTTCCCTTCCATGCACTCCTGCCCCCCGAGCTGTCTCCCTGTGCATACACAGCCTTTCTATTCTCCCATGGTTGATCTCTCCCAGAAGTGTATCCACCTAACGTAAGCATTCAGCTCACTTGCCTGTCTTTTATTTGGCTGGTAGCCACAGGTGTGGGTTCAATTCCAGACCTGAAGGGCAGCTAGGGGCCATAGTCTCAAGGGTTCAAGCCTCTCTCAGACCAGCAAACCTGGTCTTTTTTTTTTTTTTTTAATGATTTTGAGTTTTGTTCCACATAAGAACATGGGTTCTTGACCTATAGTCCATTCTTCACAAAGGACCCCTACCCTCACCCAAGGCACATGACAACTAGGTACACGACTGTTGTTGCTGTTCGTTACCATCAAGTCGATTCCAACTCATGGCAAGACAATGTGTGCAGAGTAGAACTGTGCTCCAAAGAGTTTTCAAGGCTGTAACCTTTTGGAAGCAGATTGCCAGGTCTGTCTTCCAAGCCATCTCTGAGTGAGTTTGAACCACCAACCTTTCAGCATTTAACTGTATGCGCCACCAAGGGACTCCTAGGTGCATGTTGTTGTTGTTATGTGCCGTCGAGTCAAACCTGACTCACAGCGACCCCTCCTTGGGTTTCCCAGGTGGTATCTCTACGGAAGTAGATTGCCCAGCCTTCCTTCTGAGGAGTAGCTGGAGGGTTTGAACCATCAGCCTCTGGTTAGCAGTCAAGTGTCTTAGGCACTATGCTACCAGAGCTCCTTCGTAGGCACATGGCAGGTGCTTAATAAGTACAGGTTCCACGAACAGTGAATGAGCTCTGGAGTCAGATTGCTTGGGTTTGAATCCCACCTCTGACAACCACTAGTTGTATAATCTTAGGAAGTTGCCCTTGCTATCTAAATGCCATTTCTTCACCTGTACAGTGGGAATGAGAGTAGTGGGGAATTAAATGAGCCACAGGTCCGGGCCATTGCTTTTTTTTTTCACTAGTTGCCATTGAGTTGATTCCAACTCATGGTGTCAATATTTGTGTCAGACCAGAACTATGCTCCATAAGAATTTCACTATCTGATATTTTGAAAGTAGATAGCCAGGCAAATGAAAGTAGATTCCAAGACACCTCTGGGTAGACTTAAGCCTCCCCCCCTTTTGGTTAGCAGCTGAGTGTGTTCCCGTTTGCACCACCCAGGGACTCCCAGTATCTGTTAGCTGCTCTTACTACCTAAGTACCCCTCCAGACAAAGGTCTGCAGTCTTGTCCATAACTTCTGTAACTTGCTTGGGCAAAGAGTGGAAAAGCCTACTATTTTAAGTGTATCAATTTGATATAAAATGGGACGGCTGTGAGGGAAATTTTTAAAGCTTAATATTATTTCACCTTACTTTTTTTTTTTTTTTCCACAACCAGTTTGATTCAGTGGGTACATGCATCAGTTCCATCTTATCTGCAATTATAGAATTTAGGTTGCTTGCTACCTCCATAGAGATGATTTACTTTTAAAAAATAATTCAGTGATTTACAAATGTTTCTAGTTTCCACCCATTTAATACTGCATGGTCCAGAGACGCGTCCCCTGTTACTCGATTTGGTCCACAGAAAGAAATGATAAGATATATATATGTCTGAAAATACTCCTTTTCCAAGTCACTGGGATTATGACTTGCTTCCTTCCCACCCATGCCTACCCCCAAATGGATCATTTTAATGCTCTTTCTGGCAGAAAAGTTAACATGTAGCTGACATTAGAATTCTATAATGTACCAGACAAGCGTTAAGTCCTTTATTACCCTTGTTAATCATTATAATCTGTTCAGTATGGTAAACACTATTTTTATACCCATTTTAAAGGAAGGCACTAAAGTTTAGGGAGGTCAAATAATTGTACAGGGTCACACATCTAGAAAGCAGTGAAGCCAATGACTCCACCACCCTTTCTTCTAACCACCACCATATATACCACTTTACTACCGAGAAATTGTTTTCCCCAATTTGACATGTGTTGTGAGGAGCAAAGTAACAGAGGAACTAAATCCCCACACTGACACTTTATCCCCAGATTGAGAAGGACCATTATGTTAAACATAAGAGAAAACTTGCTAAGAATGTTGAGTAATTTCAGATCCAGTGGACTTTATCTCTGATTTTCTTATTTTAAAAATTGTTTGCACCCTTGTTTTAACTTCCATCATTTTCTACATATGTTCAAATAACTTTTTAGATGTACCACCATTTTTTAATAAAACATTAGAGTGCATATTTTAAAATGTAGCATTTTTCTGTTAATGTTATTTGTAGATGATAGATAACATAAGATGAAAGAAAAGCCCAAAGTATTGGAGCCTTCTCTTGTTCTATCAAGTAGATATTTACTTAAAAAAAATTAAAAATTGCTGAAGTTATATCTATTTTTATGACTTAAAATAGTCCGACTTGATGGCACATAATAACAACAACAACAATAGTTTCTTAGGCACACTGTTTACCACAGATTGACTACCACATGATCTACCTACGAAAAGTAAACCCTTGAATGGTAAGAGATGAATAACAAGCGGGCAATCAGAATTGAAACTGAATTTATCCTATTCCTTAAAGGATAAAACTTAACAGGTATTTGCATTCAAGAAATAATTTCCTAGCCTGTGAGCCAATACATTTGCCACATATATAATCACAATATATACAATGGGATTGCATTTTATGCAAACGTACGATAATGAAAATGATTTAATCATCAAGAATGGCATAATGTCAAGGTGTTAAGTCAAATGAGTTTTAGCTGCATTGAAGCTGTTGCTATACCCTTTAACTGGTCAAGCAAAAATACTTGGCTTCCTTATCAAGAAGAATCTTGAATTACACAAGGGTTTCAAAAGTTACCCCTCTTAGATAATGTGACCACCCACTACTTGTCATACTTATATTGAATAATGGATTTAATCCTCTAAAAGGAACTAGTTCTAATCATGTAGATTTCCAGAAAATAATAATAATAAAACTTGGTTGGATCTGTGGGAAAAGCACGCTTCATGAAGTTGTAGCCTGTTTTGTTCCTCAGACTGTATGATTCTATCTGGAGGACCAAGAATATATCTTGGCATGCATTGTCATCCTGGTCTTTATGCTGGAGCTCCAGTTCTCCCATGTTCACCTGCCATGTTTCAAAAATAGCTAGGGAAAAAACCATTTCTATCACTGGCTATCCTAACTAATACAGAACAGCAAAGTTCCCCTTGAATTAAAGCTCTGGTAGCATAGTGGCTAAGACACTTGCCTGCTAACCAGACAGCTGGCAGTTCAAACCCACCAGCCACTCCTCGGAAGGAAGGTTGGGCAATCCTACTTCTGTAGTGATACTGCCTCGGAAACCCAAGGAGGGGTCGCTATGAGTCGGGTTTGACTCGACGGCACATAACAACAACAACAACAACCATTCAAGCAAAGAGTTTGGGAAGTAAAGTACTCACACTGAGCAGATATTTTACATAATTATGATTTTATATTACAAGTCAAGAGCTCTATATAAAGGATAATTCAGTACCAAAGATAAAAATTGTTTAATACTAATTTTAATATGAATGCAATGATTATTAATAATATTAATATTAGCTAAGGAAACTGCTTAATTAATTATTGATAATAATAATAAACTTGGAAGAGTTTTATCACCTCTAGCGGAAATGAGTTACATGGTACTGAATTTCATAATGTAGGTGGAAAAAGCAGAGTTTTAGAAAAATACTGATTATTTTTCCAATAAAAATAATGCCCATTGAGTGATTTCCCCACTGTTAGTCACATTTTAAAAGATTCTGTCATTTTACCTTAGGAAACCCAATGCTTTTGCTTCCTTATTCTTCAAGATTAGAAATGGATACACTGATGAGCCTGGGCACTTCTGTATTCATTTAAGCCAGTGACTCTTAGAAGCGGTTGTTTGAAAGACAGGAAATGTAATAAAATTCTTCATTCATATTTATACCACTAAATTAAACTAGCTACAGAAAATCCTTGGAACAAATTAGGCTTCCACAGCAAACTGATTATCCTGTTGAATCTGAATCCACTATTGAACTGTGAAAAACAAAACAAAACAAATGTTACCATTGTGTTGATTCCAATTTATAGTAACCCTATAGGCCACAGTAGAACTGTCTCATAGAGTTTCCATGGCTGTAAGCTGCCACATCTTTCACTCCTTCAAACCTGCCACTCTTTGATTAGCAGCCAAGCGCTTAACCATTGCACCACCAGCGCTCCTGAAGCAAACTGTAGAATCCCCTAAAGCCTTTGGGCATGGGCCAGTAGCACCGCATCATCCAGGAGCTTTTTAGAAATGCAGACTCTCAGGCTCCACCCCACCACTACTCAATCAGAATCGGCATTTTACCCAGATCCCCAGGTGATTTGTTACACACAATAAGTTAGAAAAGAATTGACCTAAAAAAATCTTGCAGCTGACTCATAGATTTAAAGGAGTGAGACTGTGCAAAAATTGAAAAGTGGGACTGCAGGGGAACAGTTCCTATATCATTTCCTTAATGCATTTAATTTTGCTTTTTTGCAGTTGTTTTGAAAAGCCCAAGTTATCTTGGCATGCTTTAGATTTAAACTATTTTCTATGCAAAATTCTGTGGGTTTTTGTTTGTATGAGAAAGTACTTTGTCTAATCCTCACAACTGTGCCTGGCCCTTCTCCTGCTGACTTGCTTGTTTCTCGTTCGCAGTCCTGACATAGCTCTTCCTGACGAGCAACCACATTCCAGCTCCCAGTGTGCACCTCTCCACTGTCTCTCCAAGCCTCCCTATCCCTAGTCTTCATCTCCCGTGGACGAACATCTGGGGTGAAAGTTGTGTAACCACACACAGGATACTGCCCAAGATCCAGCGGGTGTTTTCTTCTTGGTTGTTGTTACATGTACAGTTGGATGAATGTCCATCATTGTGGAAGATGAGAGAAAGTTGAGAAGAATAACACAAAGCACAGATCCCAGTGTGATAAAACATTTTTTGGTTTCTCTAAATCATAGATAAACTGCAATCAAATGGCTATGGTTCATTTAAATAAAAACACACAAGTAAACAAGAAACACATATCTCAGATGGCTGGCATTACCTCGATAGCGTAAGAGAGACCTAAGACAGTGTAAGACATATATTGTAAAACCATCTTTGCTCATACTCCAAGTTCAGCTATAGAAGTTGATTCCAATATTTTTTTTGTCATTGATATTTATTTTGTACTTTGCTACATGATTTGTGTCTATAAAAATCTCTTCTATGAGAGGTGAATTCAATTCATTTATTTTTCAAGCATAATTTGCTCAAGTAAGTATGAGTTTTAATTTAGTTTAAAATCTGGAATTGGCCAAACTCTGGTCACTTTTCTTGCACAAAGTGATAAACGAGGTGCATTGGAATGCTAACAAGAACTGTATTTTGCTGCTACACTGATATTGTTTATGCACTTATTTTCTAACCAATAGCTTATTAACTACTGGATTATTATTATTTTTTAAAACTAGATCTCTTCACTGGACATTATTAAGTAAATCTAAGAAAGAGAATAAGTTATTCATTGACTTACTCAATTTTTGACTGCATTTTTAATTTTTTTTTTTTTTTTTTTAATTGCAGACAAGTAGATGCACTGGTGCTGCTCCTTTGTGTGTGTGTATGTGTGTGTGTGAGTGTAAAAAGGCTAAATAATTAGAAGAGGAAAAATGGTGTGTTTATTTAGTGACCAGAATTTTTTTTACTTGTCCCAAATTCAGGGTCCTACTATGAGTCTTTCCTGCTAAAAGAAGTCAAGTACAAATGGGAAAATATATACATATGTACATGTAAGGTAGCCTTTAGTTAACTGATTTACCCAGAAGGTGTTCAAAGTTTGATTAAAAATGTATGTTTTTTTGTTGTCAGGTTTCTTTTTCATAATGAATCTTCCTTGCCAAAAACAATAGGTAATAAACGTTAGCTCATTGTCTACTTTTGACAAACACTCAGGTGCCTATAATCATTATAATATATTGAGATAATACATGTTCCTAGTTCATTTATAGATTCTGCTGGGTAACTTTTATGACTTGATTTAAGGCAGTGGATTTTCATAGCAAAATTTATTTTGCACATAATCTGACAAACAAGGAAAACAGCTAATTGAGCTGAAAGGTCTAACACTCTTGGGCTCCTTAACTCTCAAGTGCTGCCCACACAATTGCTCCTAGCCCTGATTCCTTGTCTTAGTCAGGTAGCCTTAACTTATGTAAAACCAGAAGGATTTGACTTTTTCATGTACCGGTATCTGTAATTTCTTTCAAAATAAAAATAATCCTTCCTGTTAACACAAAGATTGTTAGCAGTGTAGGACACTGATGATAGAGATCTAGTAGGCGCCACTTAGCTTATTGAGTGGAAGTGGGTGGCACATGAACGGAAATGGTCCATCAAAGATGTCGGCTAGCCGGTAAGTTATAAAGCACATTGTGGGAGCTTTCATCAGTCTTCAGCCTATTAAGTAGTGGTCACTACTACCAAAGCAACCAAGGGGTTTTGAGTTCCTTTATGCGAGTGCTATTTTTAGCAGTGTCACTTTTTATGCAACTTGGAGTAAACAGTTGAAAATCTCCACCAAAATAGGGATTCAGGTTAAAGTATAGAAAAAGAAACAAATCTTCATAGTGTCCTCATCGTAGCAACCTAACCTTCTGCGCTTTCCTATCTGCATTGCCTTGCTGTTCCTAAACATTTCTTTTTTTTTCGTTTTTTTGGTGTTGAATCTGCCTCGTACCAGCATTAGTGAGACACTGGATTTTTCCAGAGTTCAATGAGAGCAAACTCCCTCTCCCCTTTTTCCCTTTTTCTCTTTTTTAGCATCATATATTTGAACTGAGAACTGGCGTAGCTGTTAGGTTGACTTTTAATAAAAAGTGTTGTGCCTGAGGGAAAACATGCTTTTTTTTTTTTTTTTTAGTACCTCAGAACATCATCCTGTATTGCCTCATCAATTCCCTCGGTGGAACTGGGAATCCTGCAGAAAATATTGTCTGCGTGGAATTATAGGGCAGTACTTCCAATTGACAATGCTGTATTGTCTTATTCACTTACTAGTATGATCCGGTGAAAAACTGGCTCATAAACACAACAGCTATTTCTTCCAGTCCATACAAAATGTATGATCCAATCATTTATTTCAGTTCTTTATCTTAGAGAATGGGAAATGCTTGTTTTGAAATAGTAATTCTATAAAAATACAAATTTCAGCGAAACTTTCCCAAGAAGATACAAAGACTTAGGGAAAATAATTTTAATTTTCAGCACAAAATTAGGTGATAATCCCTAAGCAGTAAAAGAGAGTACCACATATTTAAACTGTGGCATCCTTTAATGTGGTTTAAACTGAGCCATATCTATCTATATTTAAAGGCATTTAATGAATAAATATGTGTAGGGTTGATACTTACCTACACTTATAAAGATAACACCAGGATTCAAAGGAAATTAAAAAGTAGAAAAAGTGGTAAAAATGAAAAAGAATAGACTTTGGTAACACAAATTGAAGCCAGACTTGGGGAAGAAAAATAAACTACAGAAATCTAATAAAAATGCTGTCTAATTGCAAGCACACTGGGCAAAGATGAAAGGTAATTGGCAAGAATGGTTAGCAATGTAATCAGGTCATTTTCATAAGTAAGCACAGTTAGAGTATTGAAAAGAATAGTCAATATGCAGAAATACTTTGCAACTGAGGATTTTTTTTAATTAAAAAAAATCTTAAAAAGCAATAAATTGCCTTTAGCCTAAATACATAAAGGCATACAGGACCCTCGGATTAAAATCAACTCATGGTTTAGCAGATCTCTTTCATGTATCCAATTCTGCTTCAAAGAAGAGAAGTTCAGAGAACTTTGAGAAAACAAAGTTAACAAATAATTTTTAAAAGACCCATTTGGAAAGATTATACTTTATTTAGCTTACGAAAGAAGGGGTACAATAGTGGTCTTCAAGAAAAGAAAATTTAACAAACAGTAGTTACCAGCTATAGATAGCATTACTAAGACTAGAATAAGAAAAAGTTATCAGTGTGAGGGATTTATACTAACACTAAGAAATTTATAATACAATTTAATCGTAGAAATTGATAGTAATAAGATTTGTTAAAAATAGTATTGGTGGTCTAGTGAGGATTAAGTGACAAGATATTATATGGTAATGTATTATAATTCTGGGACTCCATAATCCTAAGATTATTTTATTTAAAAGTTTAAAATAAAATGTCATAAAATATTTTACTCCTTGAAAATAAGAAAGCAATCAGTTTTTCCAAGATACTCAGCTAAGAAAACGAAACAGGATTATCATTACTGCTTTTCCTTCCAGATATATTTCATAACATCTTTAAAGTTGTTCAGAATGTAGTAATTTTTATGTAAAAAGCCTCATCATTGTCATAATCTAAACAAACATCCTCAGGAATACTTTAGAAAAGGAAGGTACACAATCCTTTAGAGGAGTAAATGCCTCTCAAATTTTATCTTTTCTTGAAAGGAGCTTCAATCTACAATGTTTGCTTTTCCTATGCTTTGGAAAATATTCTTGTACAGATAAATCCTTCTGTTTCAAAACATGAATCGACAGTCAAATAAACACCACTATGAATGTGGACATTTCCTGATACACTATATTAAATGAAGTCCTCTATACTCTCCAGTGGAAATTACAAAATATGAAAAGGAAGAAATGCAATATATTTTCTACTGGGATAAGAATGTCAGATTTAATTTGTAATGATCATAATCAGCCAAAAGCAAGTCTGTTTCTCAGAAAGACACAGTAGGGGAAACTGATGGGTTTCTGGCAAGTGGAACTGTGCTGGCTCAAGCTGGGTAGGCCACAAATGTCCACTCACATTTGTATTGATACTGTAGATATAAAGTAGAACTAGAAAGAAACTCTAAGGATGAAATTCATTATTTTAAGACAAAGTTTGCCTTCCAGGTTTCTTGTTTGCTTACAGATATAAGATAATCCATGTATTTAAGATTAGAAAGCATTGACGGTATAAAGGGAAGGTAATTCTTCAAAGAAAACTTTGAACTGAAGTTATAATAGTATCAGTCAGTGCTGATACTGACAAGCACGTTTTTACTTTAAAATCTATTCCTACAGACATACAAGAAATACTTAACTCCCAGGTGACCTTTTTCACTCTATAATAATTTCCCCTTGATAAATCGTGTCTGTAATTAATTTTTTGTTGTTGTTATTAATGCCATGTGAACTGCCATAGTCCCTGATGTATTGCATTTGTAGCCTGATCCTGTTACCTGAAAGATTTCATTGCGGCATCTTTTTTGTTCTTACTACATAAAGCATAACTAAAAGATATATTTAAATTTAAGAAATGTTCCCAAATGAAGATTTTCCAGAAATAATACTCTTAAGAAGACAAGCAGAGCAATTAACTGCCTTTATTGCAAGGGCGTGAGTGCATAGAAGTATGCAGTGTAAAATGTTTGCATGAGATAATTTCACTTCATGTAAGCTTTTCCATACTTATAATATGAACACTATAGAAGTCTTATTTCTCTTTTGATCTTCTCTCCATTAAGAATATAAGGAGATTGTTACCTATATCTGGTCTCCTTTCCATACTGAAATGCATGGCTCTAATCCTCAGTGTATTTTTATCTCTTTCCTCTGGAGTTGTTTAAAATTTGCCCTATTTCAACTGAAGCCTGGATGAACTGCTGAGCCAGGTTGTATCTGTAATTAGAGTTGAATTGCTGTTGAACACTGGTTGAGAACACCTTTTCATTTGAAGTTTTTTTTTCCCCCCTCAGAATTATTCTCTGATCATTATGGTTCTGTAATGAAAACACTGAGAAGTAAATCTGATGCTTTTTAGTGTGAATGTGTGAGATTTTCTTTTAAAAATATTTTTAGACAAATATCAGAGATCAAGTAAAGGATGATGTCATAATTGAGTTGCCAAATCATTCAATGGTGATGATGGAGACACAAGATTAATTATTTTGTTCTTTGGGTTCATCAATAAGATTGTGCATCAAATCTTGGAAAAAATAAGTCATTTAAAAATTATTGCCATAAAATTTTTAAGCTCAGTGGTTTGACTGTTAAAGTCAATTAAACAATTCTTTGAAAATCTTTTATGACATTTTTGTAACCTACTCAGTGTTTTTATTTGCATGATTATTCATATATGATAAATCATACACTATTCTGATGTATTTCTTTCCAGTATTAACATTCGTGTAATGTGTGGCCAACCCTGGTTTGTACACTGTATGATTATTGTTGTAATGATTCAGCTATTCGTACATTTAATTGCCATTTTGTTATTATGCCTTTTGGGGATAAATGATGTGAAGTG